TGTGTGTGTTTGATAAAAAGTGAAGGAAGAGATTTGCTACCAGACTGGGAAAGCATCCCATTAACATCACTAATATGGGATCCGCACACCGATTGTCCGGCGGCCTCGGTATTCTTGATATTTGTGTATATTTGGATAGCAAGAAATAGAGAAAAAATTACTTCACATCTGGACGGCTGTTGGCCAGGCATATTGTTGGATCGGTATCTTTGACAGCCAGTGCAAGGCTGAATAGTGACCGACCAAGCTTATCGGTATAACGACGGCCTTTTGCAGTTGGTACTGGTACCGGACACATGAACGGTTCACGTTGCACCACACCACTGCTGGTCGAGCACGCAAATGGACCACCGCACGATGCAGTTTCCGCGCACCACCTACAAGATGGCGAATAAATTTTGAACTGAAAATGCATCAAGCACCGTAAAAATAATAATTTTTAAGGGCCGGTTTGTTAAAGTGCCATAAAATTTACGAACAGAAGAATTGAAAAATAGACGTAAGCTTATAGAATTATGGCATCTCGCTTCTAAGAAAATCTGGCGCTTACAATGAGAGTTGTTTTTGAAAAAATTTCCTAAAGAAATGTGCTTTTTTTAGTTTTTTTTTAGAATAATTACTTTTACACTTGTCAGATGCAATCAAAAGCCAAAAAATCAGCAGTTTCTCGAAGTGAGGGAAAATCATCTCGGGCAAAACACTGCTTCAGTCTGAACTAAGTGATCTGAACTAAATGAGTTACTTTGATATTTAGGGCTACTCTGATATGAACAATGAAGATATTACACAACCAACGGAGAAATAGAAAATGTTACACAGCAATGAAGATATTTTGTGAAAGCACACTCGAGTTTTTGACATTTTTGCACAATTTTAGCGCTGAAATTCTTTTAACTTGCTGATTGACTTTTATACCAGATAAGTTTTTCTTATAGTTTTTTTAATTTTATATGGTTTTAGAAAAGATTTTTTTAAACAAACAACTTTATGAATAAATAATTTCACGGATATAATTTTCTCAATATTTTCTAAAGACAATTAAAATTTCTGTAATTTTACAATTTTAACAAAAATTTTTAGGATTTTGACTGATTGAGACTTAAATTCTAACGGCACCTGCAATATTCTCGAAATCCGAAAACGTAAATATACGATTCGGCACAAGATGCGCAATCCTTCATATCTTTACAAAGATTTACAGAACCCGCATCAATCAGCGCCCACAACGCAGATAAAAGTAAAGTGATTCGTAACATCTAAAAGAAAATACAGTGATTAAAAAGACGTTTGATATTTTTCCGCAGTGATTTTTGATCTAGTACTATTTCATAACAAAAATATCATTTTGAAACATAAGGCTTGCTGTGTAGGTATCGTTATTCTTATACAAAATACTAAGTTTGCAACTCCCCCAGTAAGATGGCTAATCCTTTTACTATTCGCCCATTCGTTTCGGCAGTAAATTGATACTGGCATATGCTCGAATGTCAAACTCGCCATCAGCTTGTTTATAAGCAACCCATGAAAGAAAAAGCCATCAACAACCTTGCCAGCGTGTGATTGTTAGTAATAAACGCTACCACTTGGGCTACTTCCAGATACTTTCACGCCTGGGTAAACGTGAATTTTGGAAGGAATGATCTTTGGTATAAAATTGGCCCTCAGTGAATTACCAGCAAGAAATCAGAGATAAAGTACTGGTGAAATATGGATGATGGAGGTACAGTGCAAAAAAAGTGGAATGAGGTAGAGAGAGCAAAAAGTGATCATGACAGGCGTAAATCCGATCGTATTAGCTGTAGAAATAATTCGCAAGGACTTAATTGAATTGACAAAGAAATTTTAAGCTCTGAACCAGAAAAAAATTAAGTGAAAGTGAAGTC